AGGTCTTTTCCAACCAAAACTCTTCTACGATTCTACAGTCAGATGCACGGGCCTTCCACCAAAGTAGATGCAATGCCCGTGCCCCAAAGGATTGCACCCCCAGAGGACCAACGGGGCACAGATGGGTGCTGGGGTGCTGCTCACCGGCCGGTCCAGGCGAGCTCTTCCCCAATTTCGTGAACTTCAGGCATCTCCCCATCATCGCTGCCTCCTCCTCCGCCCCCGGCGCCCGCCCCGCCAGCCGTGCCGTTCATCTGCCCCACTTCGTTCAGAGAGAAAACCGATTTCCTGCAGGAGAAAGCCACTGGTGTTGGTCCCGAGGCAGGGACCACGACCAAGGTCATGGTGTAGCTCCCTGCCTGCACTAGAGCTTGGGTTTGGGGGTGAATTTGGAAAGATCAAGAGCTGGATTTGCCCAGCCCCAGGGGGTAACGCAAATTTTGCAGCGTGGAAATGACTCTGAGCTGATTTAAGGGGGCAAAAACTGCTGAAAAAGCAGCATTTCTGGAACATTTGCAGAGATTCTTCCTAGGGATGAAGGCAAGAGAAGCTCTTGTCCTCCTCCAGCATCTCCAAACCAGAAGACACGGGGATGACCACGAGGCTGGGACCAGCGGCGTGTTTCCCACCCACCTCTTCTCAGCCGAGGGCACTTTTTTGGGCGGTTCAATCCTGATGTTGGGGTCCCACTCGCCGGGTGGCAGGACAATGACTTCATCCAGAAACTCATCTATGCCGGCGATCAGGTCTTCTCTATCCCGGGCTTTGTAGGCAACGTCGCTGAAGAGCTGGGGGTCAAGAAGAGGGAGAAGGTCAGGCCGGGAACGGCGGCCAGCGTGCCCATGTCCCACGGCGCCACGGGATTTTAAAGCACGTTCGCTCAGGCGATAGGATGAAAATTGATTTTTTTTGTTGCATCTACTCACATCATCCACCATGAGGGTGGCGATGGCTCTGCCGATCTCGTTGTAGGACTTGGCTTTTCCCGCGGGACCGAGGAGGATAAAAAGGAACCTGGGAAGGGAAAGACGCCATGTTGGCAACCTCAGAGCTCCGTGTCCTGAGAGACCCCTCCAGGCCCCAAGGAACCGTGCTCACCTGGTGGGGACGGGCACCTCCGTCACCCCTCCCAGCATCGTCGCTTGGAGGAGCCGCACAAAAGCCACAAAGGGCTTCTCCAGGAACTCCACTTCTCCCACCAGCACGTTGGAGGCCTCCGCGTCCTTGGGGATCTTCTTGATGAACTTGTTCTTCAGCTGTTGGAAAGACGAGGGTGGGGAAGGGAAACGGGCTGTTCCGCCTCTTTTTCAGCACAAGCTGAAGCCGCAGGCTCAAACCTCTTGATCCCTGATGATCCCGGCGCTCCCAGGGGTGGGGGATACAAGAGCCATATCCAAGAATAAACCAGGCAGAATTCATAAAGCTGAATTTCTTCGTTATTCAAAACCAGCCGCAAGGCCAAGGATTCATTAGAAAGCACACGCTTGGGGGCTCCCTAATGCAACGTGCGACAGAGCAAAAGGGGCTTCACAGGAAAACCCCCTGCAGAAAACTTCATCCCAAAAATACAGATCCTGGAATAAGCCAGGATGCATTTTCGCAAGTTTTTGTAGCCCTGGGATCCTCCGAGACCCTACATAAACACTGTGCACAGGGGATGTTTTTTGTGGCTCGTTCCTCCCCGATCTCTCGGAGCAGGAACAAATAATGGAAGTAGGAAACCTCGTTCATGGATTTATTCCCCGGGTCTCTTCTCCCCTGCAGCTCTTTCATTATTAGTCTAAAAGGGTTCAATACCAACCCAGGCAGGGTGTTATTATAATCTATATGCCAGCATGAGGGGAGGCATGTGAGCTGGTCAGCGAGCTCACCCCTTCCTAATCTTTTAAACCCAAATGGAAAAAAAAAAAGAAAATAAAAAAAAATAATAAAGCAACTCCTCCAACGCAAGAGCAGGAGTTAACAGTGACCACTAAGCTTCATGTAACACTTAAAAAGTCCCTTTGTAGTGAGCCTAATAGGGCGATTAAACCTAAATGCTTTGCATATTTTGGGATTAACCCTCCGCACCCACCACGTTAAATTTCCCATAAACCTCTCCCGAAGGGAAACATGGGCAGCTCCTGGTTAAACAGCCTTGACTTGGGGATGGGGCATCCAGCAAAAGAACCGGTGCAACCATTCTGATCCATCCCATCAACCCAGGATCCAAGCAAACCGGGGATGGGGAGAAGCCCCCGGAGGACTCTTGGCCGAGCTTTGCATTAAGAAACTCAACCAAGTTGTGGTTTGAGCTGTGTTCTCATTTGCAGACCCAAGTGCTTGGTTGGGATTTACACCTCGCCCTTACCCAGCCAAGAGAAGGCTCTTTCAGGATCCCTCCAACCACCTTTCCTTTCCTACCAAAAGGTTTTAAGGATTTTTTTATTCTTTTCTTCTCCTCCGCCCTGAGGATCTCGAGCACCGGCATCCTCGCGCGCCCCTACCCCTGCGTTCAGCTCGCAAGCACAGGTGTCATTTCTGGGACAGCCTCCCCACGAGTTCGCAGGGGTCGATACCCGGATTAAACTCCCTAATGAGGAATTTGCGTGATTATCGACCGGGCGGAGCCGCGCGAGGCTCACGTGGACCTCAGCAGCCGCAGAGCCCTCGCCCCGGCGAGGATGGCACTGGACCTGCTCCTCGCAGCATCACACGGATGTTTTTGGGGACGGTTACCTGGTCGGTGCTCGGCGTGTCCGAGATGTCGTTCATGCTCCGACTCTGCGCGTGACCTGAGGGAGATAATAGAGACAAGGTGAGGAAGCTGCCCTGTGACGCGTAGAAGGAGAAAACACAGTGGAAGGGCTTTAGCACCAAGAAAAATGACGTTATTTATCAGAGCTGGGCTTGCAAACCAGGTGAAAACCCAGAAATATGAGTTTCTCTGATCTCGACCATACGAACTACATCTCATTTATGGCTGCGGTGCGAGTGCGACCGCCCGCTGTCGGGTTGTGACTCGGTTTTATTTCATCCCCTTGCTTCTTTTAGGGCTGTTTCCCCCTCCCCAGCTTACGCAGGCGGCCGTAGCTGGGGCTCTGCCGCATCCGCAGGTCCTCGGTGGAGCGGTGGAAAGTGGCGCCGGCTGCCGGGCTCCGGACAGGGCTGCGGGCTTGAGGGAAAGGAAACGTTAGAGGAGATGCTGCTGCCACGAGAAACCGTCGGGAGATGTTGAAGGCAAGAGGCCACCCGGCACAGACCTGACCTTCCCACCTCATCTGGACTTTTCACCCACCTGCAGTGATTTTTCCCACTTAGAAAGAAATAAACTCGCCTTAATCCAAGTCTTCCCGCTGCAGAAACTCCGTGTGAGGAGCCTGCACCCACCCACACCCAACAACGCTCTCTTTGAGGCCATCGATGCATTCAGAAGTGCAATTTCTTATCAGGCTTTATCAATCACTTAATTCACCGAGGAAACGGGTCGTGAACTTGGAAATCTGAATTTGAACTTGAAATTCGTCGTGAACTTCACACTTCAAGACATTTACGTTGGCAACCACCGAGTCTCACGGGAAGGTTTCTCCTCCCGAAGCTGGTGGTGAGTCCCGTCTTTCACGTCAGATGTTTAAACTGAATCACTTCACCGTAAAGTCTTCCCTTTCCCCCCTTGCATTTTCTGTCCGAGGTGCAGCATTTTCTCAGGAAACCTGAATTCCCAAAACTCTGGCTGCCTTTTGGAAAACCAGTTTTGGCTGAGCTGATCTACCTCTCTCTGAAACACCAGCTGCGACCACACCGTCCATCCTTTTTTTTTTTTTTTTTACTGTTAAACCCGCTAAAAATAATGATGAAACTCCCACTGGGCGCCACCCTATTTTCAACGTGTATCTTCCAGTATCACAAGGGTCCCCTCTGCTCCTGCCAACGACCACTTTGGTGACCCCATTTGCAAACTCCAAGTGTTGCCATCGTTTGAACGAGGAACTGGAAACACAAAAAATGCCCCAATTTCCCCTCTCTGCGGGGACTAACCCCAACGGGTCCAAGCCATGCTCCGTTTTGAAGGCTTCTGGCCAAACGTTAGCTCAAATATCTAGTTGAGATGTCCACAGGGTGGGAATGTTATTTTTGCACGGGCTCTTCCGTGCGCGCTTTGAGCTCAGGCGCTGCTGTGCCTGTCTACCCTGGGGAGCAGTCGAATGCCGGCAAATCCCAGGCTCCACCAAATGACCTCTGTTTAAACCTAAGTAAATAATCTAGCGTGAAAACAAACAAATGCCCTTTTATAATGGCTCAAAAATAGGCAAGTTCAACCACGGAGCAGACTGGATTTGTCTGTAGGCTGCTCTGCCAGAAAACCCCTTGGCCAAGCGACCGCCGATGCCGTTGTCCCTCACACAACCCTGTTGTCCTTCACACGTTTTTTCCATCTCAGGAGACATCTCCTTGGCTTCCAGCTCCCAGTGACCCTCCACCTTTAAAGCCACCAGAGACAGGACTTTTGGAGTCTTTTCTCGACTTCTGGTGCCCTAAATGGTTGGGTTTCCCAATTTCCTTCTCCTGAGCTCTTCCTCTCCCCAGGCTTGCCCGCCAAAGACTCAAGGGCATGACCAGGCACGGGTTGGACACCAAGGACTCACATGTGTTGGAGGAGACGGACTTGCCGATGTCGGCCAAGGACCGGTGGATTGGCTTCTTGGTTTGGTGACGGTGCTTCCTGAGGAGCACGTAGCTTATCTTCTCCCGCAGCTCCGGCTTGAGCAGCCCGTCCTCGATCTGCTTCTCGATGACATCATCTGCAAGCACCCAACGAGGGTCACCCCACTGCAAAACCCCCCAGAAAGCTCAAGGCAAAACTTCTGGAGCTGAGTTGATGGCTCTCAACTCCCGTCTTTGCTTATTCCTGGGCAAGCTGGTTTATATTTTCACGTAGCAAGGAAATGCATCTAAATCCATTCCCAGCACTTAAAGATGTGGGGAAAAACCCACCGAATACCCAACAGCTCCTACCTATAATTTGGGGCAAGGAGTAGCCATCTAAGTCCAGGAGCACCGTTCCCGTTTGTAGACATGTCCGCAGCTCGAACAGACTGTGCAGAGACAACGTGGACACGTGGGGCTTGCTCCACCTCTCGCCGCCTTCTTCCACCTTTTCTTCAAACTTTATCCACCTGAAACGAGAGCAGCAGCCATTGGGATGGGCATGGAGCGGGGACGGATGAGAAGAGAAGGAGAGAATTGCTTTTTCTTCTGCATTTCCCTTCTGTGGCAGGTTTGGATGAATTCGACTCGCAACGTTTTTTGCTCATTAGGATGGGAATGGAGAAACGAAGTAACACGAGGAGACAAAGCACCGTTTGTACGGTTGTAGAGTGGAGCAGAACCACTCGGCTCCACCACCAAACTCAACCCTGTGGGTTCCCCCCTCCTCAAACTGCTCCTGTGAGATCTGGGAGGTTTTCCCATGGAGTCGACCTCATCTCAGCCAGGATCTGCATCACAGAATTCTTTAGGTTGGAAAAGACCTTCAAGATGACTGAGTCCAACCAATTAACCCAACACTACCAAGTCCACCGCTAGAGTGGCTGGGGGGGA